CCAGTGGCCTGCCAGCCATGGAAGGAAAGATGCCGGCCAACAACAGGGCACTGCCGGCCATCAGTGACAGGCTGCCGACCACTGGTGTGTTGTGATACCAAACTGTAACGAAGCACAAAATAGAGAAAATGGAGGGTTTCCCAAGGACATGTACGCACCATGGCACTCCAAATCACCTCAAAACATCAAGGGAGAGGCCTAGTCGGATCCACGACCATCAATCACGCATCCCGATGCATGATGAACAAAGATCTAACTTGTGCCAATCAATATGAAAATGAATGCACAAATAAAGCAAGTAAAACCTAGAACTCTATCATGAATCATCAACAGCTTCGGCGACCGAGAATTGAGACACGTTCCATCACTTAAAGTATGAAACGCCCCTCGTTCCTCGTGCTTGAATTAACACTTAATCCAAGCAATGCAACACATAAGCATGGCAAACATGCAACATGACCTAAATGTGCAAACATGCAACTAAACCAAGCATGAAACAAGCATATAGGCATGATGTGAGGTGACAACCTTGAACAACATGGCAAAATGCAATATGGATATGCAAACATGCAAGGTACACAAAGGTGGACAAGTATGCAACAACATACAAGATGAAACAAGCATGCGACAACATGGTAAGATGGGCTTACACCAAAGATGGACGGCTCTCAACTAGGTCCAAATCAGTAGCCAAAGCGATGAATTAAGCCAAACAACACACTCAAGCATGCGAAATGCGAAAGGTTCATCAAAGGGGCCTAAAAGGGCAACGCTCAAAAGTGCCTAAGAAGTGACAAATGTGCAAGTGTGACAACACTATATGCACTGAACTGAGATGATAAATGATGCCAAATCATTTAAATAGCTCAAGGATAGCATGCGCGAATCACCGAAACATGAAACTTGCAAGGCCAATTACACTACAGCTACAACTACACAAAGCATGAAGGATATGGCAAGGGCAACCCAAAACAATCCTAGTACATGTTGATATGAGACTAAAACATGCAAGGAAGTAAGCCAAAGCAAGCTACCATATAATGCTAAAACATAGGACATGCAAGGCTACAAAAGAGGCAATGCACTGCACCTATTAGAATCAATCATGGCATGACTTGGACAACCAAAAACAGAGTTACATCATGGTATATTAGGACCCAAAATGTACTGAAATGATGAGCCAAAGACTTAGGCTTAATGGCATGCACAAGAGCTCATTCTTGAGGCATAAAGCACAAGCTATACAAAGCATTCAAGGCATGTCAAATACGAGTGAACAACAATATTTCATAGACTGAAATAGTATGTGGAATGAGGGCAAGGCATGCAAACATCACGCGTATGGCATGATAGAGGCCTCAAAACCCAAGACTAGCCTAAGCATTTACACTATAGCTATGCAAAGCATGAGTGATATGGCCATGGAAGCCCAAAACAGTCCTAGAACACTTCAAAATAAGCATAAAATCAAGTTTGAGCACAGCCAAAATATGCTAGTATGATGAGTCAAAACATCATGCATAAAGGGCTAGTAAACATGATTTGTTCTACCCCTATATGGAGTATGCAAAGGATGATTAAACCAACTATGGATAGGGTCACAACATGCCAAATGATGACTAAATACATGTTGGAACGTAAACCAAACAAGCTAAAATGACATGGCATGGCATGGAGCATATGAAGCTAGTTTAGGGGATTTACACTACAAGTGCATCATGCAAGCATGGAGTAACAAAACCAACCCAAAACAGGTTCATGGCATGGTAAAACATCACCAAAAATGGACTGAAATGGACTCAACAAAAGCCAAGCACACATGCTAATTTGATGAGCTATGGATGGAGTTACACTACACATGCTAGATGCAAGCAAGACATGACCAAACCAACCTTGGACAGGGCCAAGGAAGGTCCTAGAAATCACAAAAATAGGCCTGAACCAAGCCTCAAAAATGCATAGAGGGATGGTCCTTTGGAAGGCCAAAAATGCAAGCAAAGAGAAACACAAAGAGAGGGGACTACCCCCTCTGATTTAGGACCTCAAAACCACACCTCTACCACCAAAATCCCACTAGATTTCAGTGGTAGGAAGGCCAAACCAAGGCTAGCTCGGAGGCCTCGAGATATGGCTTAAAACAAAGCCAAACAAAGCATGCAAGGGGGCTACACACCCCAAACAGCAAAATGACCTTAACCAAACTTAAAAAGCACTTAAAAAAAAGACTTTTTTCAGTTATAAGAAAAGCCTAAATCAATATGCAAAGAGGGCTAAAGCAAGGTGCAAAAAAGTGTAAAAATGGGGGAAATGCTCACCCTTGAAGACCCTCTTCGAAACCAGAAATTTCAGGGGTTGGAAGCTTGCTTTCAGACCTCAAAAAGACCTCCCAAGAAGCTTGGTTCAATGATGGTGGTGTATATCTAGGTGTTGTAGTGTAAAAGTGCAAGGAAATCCAACTTCAAAGCACAAAACTCCAATAATATAGAGAGAGAGAGAGAGAGAGGGAGAGATTTTTCCTTCAAAACTCCAAAACCTCTGATATAGAGGGAGCCCTCTTGCTTATATAGAAGAAAATCAATTCAAAGCTTCTTGAACAAGCTTGGCAAGAGCTTCATCCCTCCATACACGTGTATAGAGGGAGATAACAAAAATCCAGCTGGCTTAAAAGATCTGGAGGAAAACCAGCTGAGACAGGGGGGGTGCCGGCCATCATTAATGGCCAGCAGTGGCTCACTGATGGCCGGCTGGGCTTCACCAGTGGCCGGCAGGAGCAAAGCAATGGCCGGCAGTGCACCAAGAAGGTCACTCTGAAAGGACCTAGCCAAGGTCCAAAAATAGGGCAGAAACGATACAAGGTCTGGGAAGCTCGAACCGGTGACGTTCCGCCGCGACAGTCGAGTACTCGGCGAGCAGTCGAACTAGTTGTTGGGTGTACCTGCAAGCACAACCAAGTCCCGAGGACGATCAAAAATGGGGTGTCTACACAGGGCAACATAGGCCTCAATGAGGTCCCTTCTACCATCAAATCCTTTATTATTTGCCATGTATGAAAAGAAATAGTGCAATAGTAAATTAAATAACTAAAGCAATAACTAAATCAATGCTAACTTCTATTCATAGCAGCTCCATGTCAACAATAAGATTTGATAGAAAATAATCTTATCCACAAGAAGCATTCAATAAGAAGGATTATTAAGTTACAACAAAAATCAAACATTTGACATAATTTTCTAGATAATCAGATTTTTTTACATTAAATTTTTTTTTTAAAAATCTGAGAACTAATTTTTTTTTTCGTCATATACAACCAGATTTCTTATTATTTATGTTATATTTATAAATTAATATTTTTTGTTTGTATATAGATGTATAATTGTTTTCCAGATCAAGAACATATAAAAACAAGAAGCATTGAAGAAGAAGGGTTATTCAACTACAACAAAAATCAATCTTTAAACTACCTTTCCCAATATATAAAAATCTGATTATATAAAAAAATAAAAATCTTCATAGATTATTTGTTTTTTTATTTTTTTTATGTGAAGAGTTTGGTTCAATCAAATCCCTAGATTTTTACATACAAAACAAACAAATTTTTATTGTCTTGTATAAATGAACACTATCTGTGTCATAGATGTACAAAAATAGGGGGGAAAAAATTAAAGCAAATCAGTTATTATTATTATTGCTTGAATCAAAGCCCCCCCCCTCTAAAAAAAAAATAGAGGCATAATCAATATACCTACAAACAATAAAACAAAGATAACATATTGTAACATGCCCGGGGGGTACCTGTGCGCGTTAAACAATTTGGACCCTCGATTTTTTTGATCTAGTCTCACTAGTGCAATGTGAAACATAGATGAAAGTCCAGATTTGGCAATTTTTAGAAAAATCCATTTTATTGCAAAAAATCATTTGCCAAAAATGGACTGCGTCATCAGATCTCAGAGTCGCCACCTAATATTTATTTTTGAAAAAATTAGGAAACTCGTGACTCGTGCCAAGGCCACTGTTCGTCGTAACCAAGGATGCTTGGCTTGAAACCTTAGGTATGAAGGGGGAAGGTCATTAATTGAGCACCCTCGCTCACCCGATCAAAAGATCGGCATTTACTAAACCATGATATGAATTTTATTTTCTTTATATGTTTATGTTCTGATTATTTAATAAATCCTAAAATTTACTATGTGAAGCATACAAGTATAGACTATGCCATTCATTTTGGAATAATTTGATTTCATGTATTTTGAAAAAGTTTTGAAGATGTACAACCCAAATAAATTGAGTTTACAAACATGAAAAATCAACATCATTCCAAAATAAGCGACACAACCTCCATCCACTGGCATTCATATAGTTATATCAAGTAAGCAAATAGCCACATGGTAGGATGCTTAAACATAATAAGAAAAAAAACACACACACACACAAGCGGAATGCTAAAGCATAAAAACTCACATATTTACCAACGTCCCGCGAACAGCTACAAAACAAAGTTAGTAAAACATGTATGATCTTATATACAAAATCCTAATGCAATTCACTCGTGAGATGCAACTAAAGATTCAGCTTCTAAGATATGACATATGAATCATCTCAAGAACATGAGGTAGCGTACATAATTCCATAGGAATTGATTAAATCCACAAATGCAAAATTAGCCGAATCAAGATGCATAAAACATGGATACAAAGCATGGATATAACGAAAAACAAAATATGATGCATATTCACAATAAAGAAAGCGAGTAAAAGAATGAGACGGAAAAAAACAGGACGGGGAATTATTACAACATTTTAAATATTACAAATCCGAGATGAATAAATATTACAACACAATATAAAAATCCTCACAAACACTCAAAATAAAAAAATAAATGCCCACAATTAATAGCCCAACCTAGTAGCTCACTAGCACATTCCACTCATTTTCTCCAATAAAAATTGAGCCCAACAAGTAAGTCCAAAATTATAAAGCCCAACGTTTTAAACCCCCGGTCATTCATTAACTAGCAAATAACCATTTGTCTTCAATCCAGCAGGCTTGCGAACCTTGTTCGAGTGAATATCATCAAAAACATGGGCTTGACCACCATGAAATATAGTCATTTGGCGACTAGAAGATATTGATCCATGTTGACTAGGTCTCGGAGTCAAAGATTCTGGCTCAGAATTATGAGTTCCGGACTTCTGTTTACCACCAGGCAGCAGCACCCCAGATGGGTTTCTTTCAGAGACTTCATTGCTGGCGTTAATGGAGCTCAAAATTCCAGACCCTTTAATTCTAGTGTGAGACTCTTCATCCACAGCTGCTTAAGATATAGCCGAAGGACCTAAATTGGCATCTTTGAATCTATTTGAAGGTACTTGACCCCCAAAAGAAGCAACTTGGCCCACCCGTGGAGGATACTGCATCGAAGGGCCTACATTCAAGGGAATAGCTCGCTCCCATTTGGACCAACTGGCATCGGTCCTACTGCGAGTAGGTGGTTGTAATACACGAGACGTTAGAGTTGGCCTCATCGGATGCATACCAAAGAACATAGCCTCATCATGGGAACGCCTAGGCTTCTCTCCCCCTACATTTCGAAGTATCTTCATCAAATGCAAGCCATCGAGGGATTCTGGTCCTACTTGTGGAAACCCATCTCTGGATGATCCCATGAAAGCAGAATCTAAATTACTTTGCTTATTTCCAGCGAATCGGTTATTCATCTCAGTCCCTGTGAGATCACTCCTAGGGCCATAGAATGGAAACCCCTCAAAATGATTTTGTCACGACCCAAACCCACCCCTATGGGTTTAGCACCGTAACCGGCCAGTAATCCGAGATTACCGAAGGCCTGCTTAACAGTAGAACAGTAATACAGAGTACAGGGGCTAGCGGAAGCCAATACAGTAATTAAAGTTGTCCAATGAACTAAGACAATCTGTATGCAAAAGACTTTCATACACGTATACAGTCAGTACCAAATAGTATGCACAATATTTACAATCTTTCAGGACAGGGACTTAATCCCTATGTAAATAGTACAGTTCAAAAACATTCAGTCTATACAGTATTACAGAACAGTGACAGTTGGGTGAAACTAAGACACCCCCAAAAGCAGCCTAAGCTTGATCACACTTGGAACCTCGCAGTGAGGCACAATGGTTGGCTGACAAAACAAGAGCCTGCCTGACGCCCCTAGCAACAGTCCGGTGCCTGAACACCTACATATATATATGAGCAGTGAGCTAAAACCCAGTGAATAACATACGCATAAAGAGGTTAAGAATGAATGTCCTTTCAGTATTGAAAATAGTCAATTAAACAGTATATTAGTCATTCAGTTTATGGCTCATATTTCATGCCAACAGTCATTCAGAAACTAAAATAGTCATATGTGGTACATCCAATAGCAAAACAGTACAGTAGGTCTTATAGACCGAACAGTCAGTTGATGGCCATCATATCAGTAAACAGTAGTGGTTCCAACATGGGAACCGATAGAGATCTCTGTGACAGTAGCAGTATAGTACAGTAACAGTAGGTTGCTATGGATGCCACGAATACAGTTCACAAATAGGACATCATTCATTCAGTAACAGTATCATTTCAGAAAATAGTACAGTTCAGTTGTTCAGAAGATAATCATTATTGAATATATCTTTACAACATTGTTACTCACAGAGTTCTGGGCTACAGATAAGCTAGAGCGTCTCCGGAATGCCAACCCTACACAGTTACAGATTGAACACACACTAAGCTATACAGTTGGGAAAAATAATAACTTAATCCCTAATTTGTCTCGGTGTGGTTCTACATCAATATCCTCCTTAAGATGCCTTAAACTAGGCCTAGGAATGCCTAGAATGAAATGAGGATGCAAAGATACGTTTTAAAAACATTTTCAAATTTTTCAGAAAACAGAGGTCCCGCTCGAGCGTGACTATCTCCGCTCAAGCGGACATGCAACAAAAGGGTTCCGCTCGAGCGTATACTTACTCGCTCGAGCGGACTGTAAAACAGTTAAAAGTGCTGAATGTGTGAAAATCACGCTCGATAGGCGCTCTACACCCGCTCGAGCGTGAGACACAAGATCCCGCTTGAGCGTCCAATACCCCGCTCGAGTGGACTGCAAACATAACTAAAGTGCTGGATGCACGAATTTCACGCTCGAGCGCCAGTCACCCCGCTCGAGCGTGAGTCCAAAATCTAAAATTCCTAGATTTGAACCTCAAGCTCAAAATCAACTTCAAATGTATCAAATTCGATCCTTTTGGGCTAATTTTCTAGAAAACACTTCAAAACTCATAACATTACATGTTTCAAAGATCCATTTGAGAAATCGAAGCCCAAAGGTAGTTCAATTAAACCTAATTTCAAACCAAATTTCATGAACATGACCTCAATGCAACATGCATGAGTTAAATCAACTTTAAAGCTTCAAATACATGCTCAAGTGAGTCAATTTCTTCAAAGACAAGATGAATTCATGAATTTTAACACAAACATGAACATGCATGCAAGATTCTCATGAAATCCAGCCTCCAAACTCAACAATGTAAACATGCATGCATGATGAGCTACAATACAACATACTAGAGCCAATTCTAGACTTAGCTCTCTAAACTACCATGATCCATGCTAGATAAAACTTAGATACACAATAAAGAGAGCGATTTCTCTACCTTGTGCCTTCAATTCAAGTGTAGAAGCACAAATATGCAAGAATCCCTTCAATTTCTCTCAATCTCCAAGCCAATTCTCAAGAACTCAAGATTTTCTCCTACCCTCTCTCTCTCTCTAGTCGGTTGTGACTCTTAAAATGGGCTGATGAAATGTTTAGTCAACAGTGTATGAAGTGGAGAGGAGTTGTCCAGATTAATCCACTAGGTGGCAAATTGATAAATAGGACCAACTCTTGCAATCTAGCTTATTTTAATCTAATTTAATCATACCAAATTGCATTTTAAATAAATATACCATTAAATCACATAATTTCTAATGATCATAAAACATTAATCAATTTTTGATTCGGCCGCCGATAAGGCCTTCAATTCACAATTTAAACACAGAACATGAACAGATAATTTACCAGTCAAACAGAGAGAAATGCAATTAAACTCATATACTCAATCAATCAGTTCAGACTTTCAGTCAATCAATCAATTAACATGCTTAGTCTCAGTTTAGCAATAAACAGTGGTGAGGGTTGTCACAGATTTGTAACCTGTCTTTCAGAACCCAGATCAGAATTGGCGGAGATAGGTCCACGGCCACTGCCAGAAGAACCACCAACAGAGGCGGAGGCCGCCAGTGACGCCTCCAACACCCGCCCATCTCCGTTTGCACCTGACTTCACCACCGCAACAAAAGACGAATCGGAGGTATAGCTCCGACCTAGAAAGTCATGAAAAATGATGGGTTTAACTTCGTCGGTGGTGTTTTTAGCATTGCTCTCTCTTTCTCTGAGCCATCATTATCATCAACAGCAATACGTCCATCTCACCTGCACACCGTCATCCTTCTGTTGTTATTGCTGCATAGTTTCTCTCTCTCTCTCTCTCTCATACATGTAATGGGTCTGTCTTTCTCTCTCATCAATATTGTGGGGGCATATTTTGTGAATGATAACACGTGGCCAAGTTGACACCGAAGTGTCAGCCGAGGTGCCACGTGTCTTGGTCATGGCGCCGAGGTGATCTCAGCTAAGCCGAGGTTATCTGTGGAGATACCGAAATCCGAGATGAATGGATAAGGGACAAGAGTCCTAGAATGGGGGAGGACCTCAGTCTGGATAAAGATAAGGCTTTTAGGGAGTTTATCTCTATCTAGCTAGGAGTCCAAGATGAGCATTGAGCCAGAGTCCATTGAAGCTAGGCTTCTATAGGGATCAGGTCAGTGCTGGCTATAAAAGTAAGGCACCCTCGTGGGTCTAAGGTACGTTTTTTGGATTCTGGCTAGTGAGTTAAGCATTGTTTACTATCTTTAAGAGATAACTGAGTACTAACTTGATCGTCGGAGTGCCCCTAGGTGAACGAACAACCGCCGGAGTCTTATCTTTCTATGACAGGTTGTTCGGGTGAGATCTATTTTACCGGTGCTCTCCAGCTGAGTACCTGTTTGGCAGTGTGGTCAGAAATCAGCACACATAATTTGGCGCCGTCTATGGGAAACGTAAGAAGAATAGATGGCCAATGACAGACATAAAGAAAGAATTGGGGGCAACATCCCTAGTGGGAGTGGTAAAAATGTCGAACCTAACGTAGAGGAGGACAACTGTAACGAAGAACCTTGAGATAAGAATCTCGGAGAAAAATATGTCAGCCAAGAGAGAGACGTACCGAAGAAAGCATGTTAGGGCAGGTATTACAACGAAAGCGCCCTCTAGGTATGGAAAGATAGATGCCTGAGGAGGGACGACGAGATAAAGGGAATGGTAAAAAAATTGGCAGACCTGCAATCGGTTGTCAATTTCATAATGCAGAACAACATCATGCAATTACTGTTCCCATTGGAGGACACGCCGATTCCAGCGGCCAAGAACGATACCCAAAGAGGGGGGCAGAAAGCAATCCCCGCAGTGCCCCAGCGCAGGGTGAGAGAGCATTCTTATCGGCCTTCACGAGAGGTCGGGCGAGGATAATCAATGACAAGAAAGTCTCAGAAGACATATCGTGCCAAAGAAACCTACGCCAAAGAACATCGGCATGCTCAAGGGAAGGAGCTTTGCTTTGACATGACGAATAGAGAGAGGTCCAAGAGGACTCACAACGACACTGGGAACAGCGCACCAAAAAGGCTAAAATCCGTTGACAGTCGAGCTCCTGGACGGACTAAGGAGGATTTGAGGGATTACCTTCAAAGGAAGCGACAAGGTACCGAGGTAACATCTCCAGTCAAGCTGAGAACACCATTCTTGGTGGAATTAGACAAGTTTGAGGCCCTTAAAAGGTTCCACATGCCGAGATTCCAGATATACGACGGTAAGTCTGATCCCAACTTTCATGTCGAGTTATACTTGAACTCAATGGCACTGTACACCGGGAACGAGCCGTTGCTCTGCAAGGTGTTCTCCTCATCCTTTGGGGAAATCGCATCAGATTGGTATCACAAGTTGCCGAAAAGAACTGTGAAAAGCTAGGAAGGCCTAGCCGAGATGTTTGTGGCCAGGTTTGTTATAAACAAACTACAGCCGTTGAGGGTAGACTCCCTGATGGCTTTGAGAATTGGCGAGGATAAAAGCCTTTGTGTTTATGCTAAGAGGTATTATGAGGTGTTTAACCGAATACCAGGGTGCAACCAAGAGGTGGCGGTCATGTCTTTTAAAAACGGCCTAAACAATGACTGTCTGCTTCGAAAATCACTGGCAAAGACACTGCCAAAAAGTATGGGGGAACTTATGGCCAGAATTGAGAAATATGCGAGAGTAGAGAAAGACACACCAGGGACCAAGGTGTCAAAGCAAGAGAAGAAGAACGGCTCGCCGAAGCGAGGCCAAAGTAATACAAATTTTAATAGACAAGAAACAGGACTACGGGCTGCACAGGCAGTCACCACAGAGTTCCGAATCCCAGTTTACAAAGTCCTAGAAAGAATCAGGAGCCAAGCTTACTATAGAGCACTAGAGAAGATCCCTGGTGAATTTATAGGAAGAAGCCTGGGGAAGCATTGTGCCTACCACAATGAGGATAGACACCTGACTCAGGGGTGCAAAGCCCTAAAGACA